CAACTAGAGAGGCGTCAGGACTGCCACCTATGAGAGCCGCAGCGCCTCGGTTACGTACTGCGAAACCGCAAAAGTGAGGACAATCTTAGGGAGGACCAGATTACTTGAACAATGAACAGGCCTACGAGTCGGTTGAGCGCGGAACCGCTTTGAAACACAACAGTGGGCACATCTGTCTTCTTTCAGAGACTTTTTCTAGAATTTTGCTGTTTCAGCGCGCAATATACCCCTCGACCTCATTACACGGCCACCTCCTGTCATCATCTCGTATCAGGTGTGATTACTTTCTATCATCCGCCGTCAATGATCCAGTCGTACCTATGTAACCTGTTAGAATCAACGTCCCACTGGTGGTATGACCTAAGCCATGAACTTAACGACGTTCCTTTCCTAATACTCCTTATCCGATCTGATCCGCTGTCCATCCTGTAACCCTCTTTATACCACTCCATTGTAGTAGCAGTGGGTTACAGAACCCGTGGTTACTGCTACGGGCGCTATGAAGTTCGTGACAAACAATGGACGCACATATTCGTACAGGCAGGCACGCTTAGCGGAGTAAAAATAATAAAAAACTTGAATTTATGATGCCTAATGTGAGCCGAACTGGCGTTCTTTCATACTGGAAAGTGTCAGAACTGTTGTCACTGAAACTAACAACTGCGCCAAAATTCTGTTATTTTCGTGATCAAAACGACGCATCATGGCGCACCAACGTACGTCATGCCGCACCAACGTACGGAATCTACAGCAGGGTTGTACTTGGTCACGAGGAGGAGGTCGCATTGAAGAAGGAGGTATGCGGATTGTACTGAAGAGAGATGTTTCACATCCCGATCATGTACCGTGCATCGAACGACCTTATAACTGAGTAATCAGCCAGTTTCAGTGAAAAGACTGGCTTGGACCCTGTAGTGGAAGAGTATGTCTAGAGAAAAACCACCGTCTTTTGGATTTTCGGAAGCACTCCGTTGCGGAGACATTTAAAAGTTTTCCAGTGCTATTTGCGTGACGACCCATGTAATAGGTGATTGACGTATCATTCGAATGACTCCGTTGGGGCAGAGTAGTTATGGAAGTACTGAGCAGCAAGGATGTACAAAGAGAGTAAGAGGAGGCAATCAACGGCACGAGGACATGTATGCGAAGGATGAAAAGATCATTCAGACCTTTTGGCAACGCTCTGCACCAAGAGATTAAGAAGAGGCAATCATCGGCACGAGGAGATGTGTTCGAACGACAAAACGTCATTAAAACCTTTTGGCAACGCTCTCGAGAACATTATACGTTGGTTGGAATGGGAAGATGTGGGAATGGAAATCGGCGGCTGGCAAGTACACCACCTCCGCTTGGATGACGACAGCGTGCTCATAGCAGGGAACGTAAAACAACCGAGTGAACGTTGGTTTGTCCCAATTGTGCGTGGAACGTTTGGTTTACAGCTGAGGAAAATGAGGCAATTCCAATGAGAAATAAGCTGGCTGGAACGTGAACGAAGCTCAGCAGTAATAAGCTTACTGCTTCACGCTTAGGAGGGCGAACGTTACAGAATACTCAGCTATGTGCTATCAGATTTCTAGTTCTAAAAATCATGATGGCGATTCATTACTAGTGCAGGAGGGAAGAGTCGATAATGCGCAAACAGAAAGAACAGTTTTCCAACTGTGCTGTACGGGTATACCCATGGTTCTTCGGGGCTTCACAAAATGACAGTGGTTAATTAGTACTCAGAGAAGTTATAGGAAATAGCGGTTGATTCACCAAAATCCTGCACATGTCATAAATTTGGGCAGACGCTACTGCTCACTTGCTAGAGGCACACCACTTTATAGAGGAATTCATGCTTCGTGGGCAGATTCCATGTCCAACCAAATGAAATAATCGCCTAGTTAGGAAGGAACGAATGGCGCTGTTTGAAGACGGGGGGGGGGGGAGGAGGAGGCATTTTGCACTTTAACGACTTCCCATCGACGTGTCGACCCATCTAGACAGCCTCTTCTCGAGTTGACAGGTTTTACCATGATGGCTTGACGAGCTTCCAGCTTCACAAGAGTTCACAGGTTTCACCAGAGTGAGACTTGTAAACCAAGAACTTGCTGAAGCAGCGAAAGCCAGCGCCTACCATCGTTCACCAGCAACCGGGAAGTGGAGAGTATGGGGAAGCAGGAGAGGCAGCTGGATTAAGCGCCGTGAAATTGCGGCTGTGCACCCGCACTGTACTACTACACAATACCGTACATTATCACGACGCTTAATACAGCTCTAACGGTCTGCATCCCTCCTATTTCACCATACACTCTACTTCCAGTCCCTGGTGAACGCTGGTGGACGCTGCCGCAAAGTATGAACGCAACCTTAGCAAATGCGAGATTTGAGGTGCGTTGGCGTCGCCGCCGAGGTTAGGTGTTTCAGATCTGATATTCATGTTCGAGGGATCAAACCACCTCCAAGAACACAATCCCTGCCAAATTCATCCCCAGAGGAAATTACGAAATCTGACCTTGATTTTAATTAGAGGGGGCATAAGAGTGAAAATGTATTACTAGTAACCTGTTGTCATGAAATGTACCTTCAAGCTTTGGAGCCGTACAGTCGGAAATCCCCGGGTCTTCTACAGTGGACCAACGGCGGCCTTTTTAGTGGTTCTACTTTACGTTTGCGGCGCTGTGTTTCATCATGCCTGTGTGGTGTTTAGACATCAATCTGTGGATCTTTGATTCGCTGACATCTATTTGCGCACAAGATTTTTCACGTCATTATTCTTATCGTGGCTTGATAAGTGCTTGATTAGACTCTTGTATGCATCAGTTCTCTTATACTCTTTGGACTGCTCGCAGGCGACCTTTCAAATTACTTGTTTTGAAGGTTTTATAGCCTTAGCTGAGGAGTTTACACGGAAAAACAGTTTTTAGAAGGAAGCAGGTGTTACGCGTTGACGCAAGAGCAGGGTAAGATGAGTTACTGCGTACGAGACTTTTTAGAACGAGTGGCTAGAGCAGCATTGGCTGAAAGAATTGCCGGATGTTAAAGAAAGTTTGTTTCATGTGATTCACGTGAAGGGTTAATAGAACGAAATAGAGCGACCAATGGCAGAGATCATTTTGGCGAAGCAGTATGAGTGATGAGACTAAAACTAAGAATAAAAATTTGGCTATTTGTTAAGCGAGTTTCTCCTTCTCTTAGCATCCATGAGCAGTCATCTCTTCTTTGCAAAACATTAACGGAAAAGGGGCGATGTTGTATTTCAAAAAAGCCCGATCAAGGTCCCTGAGCTGGGCTTTAAATGAACTAGAGACCGCTGGCGTAGGTCGCAGCCTGTTGAGATCCAGAGTGTTTTGGCAGTTGCTCTGCCACAGTCTAGACCATCTATGACGGGGAGGGGGTAGCAAAAATGATGACTGATCCACTTTTGGCATAACAAGGCTTATTCTAGAAGAACCTGATGAAAAAAAGGGTCAAAAAATGTTCCGTATAAAGACATCCTCATCACTAACTTTTTTGGTAGCCGTGTGGTTCATCTATACCTTTCTCAAGCTATTTCAAATACTCTTTACCTTCTCATGCCGTGAAATATTCAATGAATATCCTATGTTGTATTTTGTATGTGCTGTTCTGCAATGAAAAGCAGTATGCCCCTGATAAATGATTTTCATTTTCGGGTGACATGCTGTAGTTTATTCCTTTGTTAGACTGGCACAAATGGTATACCTTACCAAGCGCTCTACCGGGAA